CTATAGGAACGTAGCCATATATCACATAAAGGCTGAAACGTCTTAGTTTATTGATAGACCTAAAAATTGCCCTGTATTCCTCATCTCCAAATCCTGATTCATGCTCTGCGTACAGAGAGTCTAAAAACACCATCTCTCTTCGAAGCGGCATCATTATCTATAATGTTAAAGGTGTAAAAATATTTCATTTGAACATTATTGCTTCTTCCAAGATTTTTCAGTGTTTTATTTTAGAAACACACACATTGCAATACCAATTAATGTATGCACTAGACATTTCAATATTTTCTTACACAGACAACAAAGCGGTCTGGTCCATTGGCATTTGTCCATGCTGGAAAGGCTAACAGGTTTTTCAAGTCTGCATCTTCCTAGAATTGATCAGGACAGTTTTGTCGTTTAATTTAGGTTGTACTTCTCACACAGTAAATACAGTACATACACGCACCGGTAATCCAGTAACAATGTTGTTAGGAGTTTCTTTCCACACAGGGACAACATAAAAGTCCTCAATGTATATGTCCTTGCCCTACATGAATAAAAAGAAACTGTTGACAATGACATGAACATTTTCACACAGTTTAGAAATTGTTTTTTTTTTTTTTTTGGATCAAGTTAAAACAATCTATATAAATATTATGTTTTATACATACAATTTGTCGAGCCATTTCACAAATAAGCTTCATGCAGGCGTTTCCAATCTGCAATAAATACTTTGATAAGTCAATGTTTTTAATAAAAAAAAAAGTTATAATAAAAAAACAGACTGCTTACATGGGAGTCCATGTCCCTCAACAATCCAAGGCTCCAAAATTCTTCTCGAATAAGGCACACTTGCCCCTCCTTCACAATTATTTCACTGCCAGGGCGATTTCGGTCCAGCACATAATCAAGCTGTAATAATAATAACAATAAATATGTGTGTGTGTGTGTGTGTGTGTGTGTGTGTGTGTGTGTGCGTTTGTATGTAATGGTAATTATTCACCAGTTTCTCTTGTAATGGATGCCAGTCCCTCTCCCAAGGCTTAGTTGGTTCAAAAAAATTCAGAAGAGTGGTAGGTTCACAAGCTGTTTTTTCTGTAATTGGTACTGATGACAGAGAAGATGTGACTGATGTTATGCCTGGTGATGCAGCGGTCGTTTGTAAAGTCACAATATTTTCTGGCAGTGCTGTCAGTGGTCCTTAGAGTACATTAAAGCATCAAAATTTGAAAATAACACATAATAATTAGAGAACAGAAACTTAACACTGAGCAACTGGAAAGAACAGTCAAATTACCAAGTGACATGTCCATGCATTTCTCTGTGGAGGATGGATTTTCTATAAATACAAATATACACATAAGTACAGTTATGGATAAAGTGATGTATTTGTTACAAAGTAAGGGAAACATTACCTAACACAACCTGGCTGTGGTCATTCATGTGAATGTTTGTGTTGAATTCCTTTTTTATGTCAGGAAGACGTTTCTCGTTTTTTCTGACATTGTAATGGTGGATGATGTTTCGCATGAGGAAAACATGTGTGGATGGCAATGCCATGTTCATAAAGTAGTTATTTTTCTTTAGCTTTGAAAAAAGCAGTTCTGCAGCCTGACTGTTAACTTTGCCAGCTAGTTGAGGCACAAGACGAAGCTTCCTCAGTGAATCACGAGGATCTTTTGTGTTGTCTTCGTGAAAGCGGTCATACAGAAAATAGTGTTCTGCAGAACCAGTTATTGGATGACCATCCGGATCTGGACTTTGCTTTTTTGCAGTGAGCCACGACAGAGTTACCCGTAATGTTCCTGATTTTGCTTTTGCAATATTTTCAGTGGTTGGTTCGAGTAACCTTCCCTCGAAAGGTGTGAAAGTTATGGGTTGCCTCATTTGTGTGGGTGGACAGTCCACGGGCAAAGTCATAAATAACAACATTAGGCAGATGCTTCCAAGACAGAAGCATATCTGCAAAATCCCGTGGACTTTCTGCTCGCAGATTACACTTTATACTGTAAACTATACCACAAGGACACATGATGACAGCCCAACCTCCTGGAACAGACAAAAAAGATAAGCAAATAGTTAAGAAAACATAATCAAATCCCATTAATGACATTGGGACTTAAATGACCATAGGTTATGATGGAGGGCAGTGGCATTAACCTTAACAAAGTATACTTTTAAAAAATTTAAAGATGCAGTGCCTCAAAGATGTAACTACACTCCCCCACACGGAAAGCAACAATAGGTGTCAGACGAGGCCACCTCCAACACCCCCCCAGAGCTGTACACCACCAGTCACTCCCCAATCAGTGCCAAGCAGAAAACAGGACCCATTATGTCTATGTGACTTTGTACATTTCTGATTTATTTGTAATATTTTAATGTGCAACATTGAGGTTTACCTGAAGCAGCCCAAATCTTTTCAAAAACCTTGTCATAGGCCTCCCTTGACCTCATCTCCTCCGAAAGTCGCAGGAGTAGATCTGTGCGAGAGCCTTTGGCATCTAAACCACACTCTTGACACAGTCTTCTTATCACTCCCACCTATCACATAAAACACACATGTTAAATGAAATGCCAACACTGACAAATAATACATATAATTAGCATTAAATATTTAACTTTCTGTTTTGAAAGTTTGTCCTTTAAGCGATCTTCAGAGACAGTTATTTCTGTTCGTTCTGCAGTTTTTGCTTTGTGCACTTTCTCAAATTCAGTGTTGAGAACAACATTCGCTATATGAGTCTTACTCCCGATCCAGGGTGCCCAAAAGTTGTAACTAGGTGTAACACAGAATGGATTGTTTTTTTGACCTTTAGGACAAACATGTTAGTACATCAGTGAATTTAGATTGTGGCCTGAAAACACTTATGAAATTAAATAATGATGACATGCCATTCCTGATATAATAAATTTCCTTACTTGAAAAAAATCCTCGAGCAATTCGTTCTTCTGTCAGTGCCTTCCAAACATATCTAAATCCACCTCTCCATTAAAATCTTGTGGAGGCTGTGAAAGATCACTCACTAAAGAAAATAATTACTTACTATAAACTTACTAATAGTTTTACTAATAAGACTTACCTCTCTGCAGTAAAAAGGAAAGATACAGGTAACATGAAAGACACAGATGGATGGTCACCACAAGATACACATGAATACTTGTATTCATGGTCAGTTAGGGCCTCAAAATGCAGATAGCCGTGGAGAAGAATAATTGCTGAGGGGAACTGTACACCTGTAGTTACCTCCAAGTACTCCACTACTCTGCTGACTGCTGTATGCACCTATGGTAAAGAAATCACAGTTAATCAGTATGTATATAGGCAAGGCAAGGCAAGTTTATTTATATAGCACATTTCATACACAATGGTAATTCAAAGTGCTTTACATAAACAAGAATAAAAGAGACAAGTATAAGAAAATAAAAACAAAGAATAAAAATGATTTAAAAAAACAGTTAAAAACAGAAAACATAATAGTGTAAACTGTCGGACGTAGCACAGTGCTCATTCAGTAAAGGCACAGCTAAACAGATGTGTTTTAAGTCTTGATTTGAATGTGCCTAATGTTGCTTAACATAAAATCAACACTATGAAGAAATCCTATTGTTGTAAAAAATATTATATTGTATAACATATAATATATGAACTGGTAGGACAAAACATTCTTGCACTTTCACTGCGCTCATATGCGCAGCATTATCCTGCCCAGCCACTCCCCGCACCTGTGCGTGTGGAGCAGGCGTGTCCAAACTACGGCCCGCGGGCCATCTGCGGCCCGCAATCAGTTTTGTGGCATCCCGCGAGGCTTTTTATAAATATCAATAGAATCTGGCCCGCTATTCAAAAATGAACGTAATTCAATAAATAACCACCGGGTGTCGCTGTTACATGCATTCAATTAGGCAGCAGTTCTTGCTATGATCTATCTATCTATCTATCTATCTATCTGTCTGTCTGTCTGTCTGTCTGTCTACACACAGTTGAAGTCTGAATTATTAGCCCCTCTTTGATTTATTTCTTCTTTTTTAAATATTTCCCAAATGATGTTTAACAGAGCAAGGACATTTTTACAGTATGTCTGATAATATTTTTTCTTTTGGAGAAAGACTTTTGTTTTTTTTCAGCTAGAATAAAAAGCGGTTTAAATTTTTTTATGAACCATTTTAAGGTAAAAATTATTAGCACCTTAAGTCTTCAGAACAAACCATTGTTATAAAATAACTTGCCTAATTACCTTAACTTGACTAGTTAACTTGATTAACCTAGTTAAGTCTTTAAATGTCACTTTAAGCTGTATAGAAGTGTCTTAAAAATATCTAGTCAAATATTATTTACTGTCATCATGGCAAAGATAAAAATAAATAAATTATTAGAAATGAGTTACTAAAACTAATATGTTTAGAAATGTGTTGAAAAAAATCTTCTCTCCGTTAAACAGAAATTGAGGAAAAAATAAACGGGGGCTAATAATTTAGGGGGGCTAACAATTCTGACTTCAACTGTATATATATATATATATATATACACACACACGTGTCTGTGTGATGTATGTAAAATTTGGCCCACGACAACGTTTGTTTTTTTGCATCTGGCCCTCGGCCCAAAAAGTTTGGACACCCCTGGTGTGTAGCATAAGAACAGATATGAGGCCTGTTACAGGGCTCAACAAGCAAACAATTCAGTGTTTTGAATGCGACTCAAAAGGTGTTGGCGCTGGCCTTACCTTAAGCTCCCTAACGCTTCCAGGACCCAGACGGTGTGGCCACACAGAAGCTGCAAAATTCCATCTGGGTCCTGCGATGCAGCTGGCACCGCTGGCTGAGGCGACGGGCAACCTCAGCCATATCCGCCTCCATTGTGGAGGGGTAGGGGCTTCATGTTCATGTATTGTATCATGTATTGTATAACGATTACCTGCAACAGGTTTCTTATGGTGAGGCAGAGAGAGAGTTCAAGGAGGACATGGTCATTGAAGTTATGCAAACCATTAGCCCACTCTTGGTAACGTTACACCATTCCACAGAAAGGACAGAATTTGTAGTAGGTTGAAATATCTGCAGATACAGAATGTAAAATAAATGGTTTAGTATCTTTTTCATAATTAAAATAAAATATGTAAGTAACAATTATCCACCTTGGACAATTCCTGTAGTTGTGAGAATTTTCGCTTTACGTGTAATGCAGACAGGATCACTGAGCAATGTGCGGTCTGAGCAGTGGTAGCACATTGTCTCATCAGGGATTAGGTGTTTTGGAAATTCCTTATAGTCTGAAGAAAGCCTCAAATGACTGGGAATAGTAGATGGTAGCTTTTTATTCATTAAGATGTATTGTACCATGCTCTTTACTTTAGCAATGTCCTTTGGAGGGTAATTCTCACTTTCATCACTTTCCTCCATCGCTGCTGCCTGAAATTCTTTAGCGCTTTCAGTGCTCCGAACTTTTCGGAAGAGTTCAGGGTGAATTTGAAAGAGGTTCCATTTTGCTATGTATTTATGGGTACATGATCTCTGGGTTTTTGCACAGGGGCAGTGCCATGAATTATTCTTGGTGTCATATGATACCATGACTCTGCCCAGTCTACTATAATATGATATATTAGGCTTGTAGACCGATATGAACCTTTTTGTTGGTGGGACTCCAATCTTGGATTCAACTGACAGTGGTGCATTTTCTTCTTGGGCTAGTTTTTGACGATTTACACACTGTTTTATTTTGTCCTGCCCAAACCACTTGCTTTTAACCATTTCTTTTAAACTTTCTTCTGTGAGTGAAGGTGAGGTTAAAAAATGTTTTGCAGTATGAAACTGACCGGAGGTGAACACATTTGTATGACAGCAGTCCACTTCTCCAAGCCAACTCCATATTAGTCTGGCACTCATTTAATTCACATGAAACACGATGTGGTTCCCGCCATATTTATATTTGCACATGGAGTGAAGTAGAAGCTCCATGAAAACTTTTGTGGACCATATAGACTTCATTCTGAGGGTCTATGCACTCACTGTCAAGATGAGATGAGGAAGTGATGTCCATCATTTTTGGGGTGTGTTTACGTTCTATATGTCTTTTTAAATTTTTAAAGTGGCATATCAAATCACATTTGGGACATTTCTTTAGTTGCTTTGGTTTTTTCCGACAATTTTTTTAAGGGCCTAGAAATGCCAGAAGTGGTGGGCAGAGCCATGTCAGTGGATAGAGGCACATGTGTGGCGGGCAGAGTCGTGGCAGTGGAGAGAGGCACATGTGTGGCGGGCAGAGCCGTGTCAGTGGAGAGAGGCACATTTGTGGCGGGCAGAGCCGTGTCAGTGGAGAGAGGCACATGTGTGGCGGGCAGAGACGTGGCAGTGGAGAGAGGCACATGTGTGGCAGGCAGAGCCGTGTCAGTGGAGAGAGGCACATGTGTGGCAGGCAGAGCCGTGTCAATGGAGAGAGGCACATGTGTGGCGGGCAGAGCCGTGGCAGTGGAGAGAGGCACATGTGTGGCGGGCAGAGCCGTGGCAGTGGAGAGAGGCACATGTGTGGCGGGCAGAGCCGTGGCAGTGGAGAGAGGCACATGTGTGGCGGGCAGAGCCGTGGCAGTGGAGAGAGGCACATGTGTGGCGGGCAGAGCGGTGGCAGTGGAGAGAGGCACATGTGTGGCGGGCAGAGCCGTGGCAGTGGAAAGAGGCACATGTGTGGCGGGCAGAGCCGTGTCAGTGGAGAGAAGCACATGTGTGGCTGGCATAGCCGTGTCAATAGAGAGAGGCACATGTGTGGCGGACAGAGCCGTGGCAGTGGAGAAAGGCACATGTGTGGCGGGGCAGAGCCGTGGCAGTGGAGAGAGGCACATGTGGGCAGAACCGTGTCAGTGGAGAGAGGCACATGTGTGGCAGGCAGAGCCGTGTCAATGGAGAGAGGCACATGTGTGGCGGGGCAGAGCCGTGGCAGTGGAGAGAGGCACATGTGTGGCGGGCAGAGCCGTGGCAGTGGAGAGAGGCACATGTGTGGCGGGGCAGAGCCGTGTCAGTGGAGAGAGTCACATGTGTGGCGGGGCAGAGCCGTGGCAGTGGAGAGAGGCACATGTGTGGTGCGCAGAGCCGTGTCAGTGGAGAGAGGCACATGTGTGGCGGGGCAGAGCCGTGGCAGTGGAGAGAGGCACATGTGTGGTGGGCAGAGCCGTGTCAGTGGAGAGAGGCACATGTGTGGCGGGCAGAGCCGTGTCAGTGGAGAGAGTCACATGTGTGGCGGGGCAGAGCCGTGGCAGTGGAGAGAGGCACATGTGTGGTGCGCAGAGCCGTGTCAGTGGAGAGAGGCACATGTGTGGCGGGGCAGAGCCGTGGCAGTGGAGAGAGGCACATGTGTGGCGGGGCAGAGCCGTGTCAGTGGAGAGAGGCACATGTGTGGCGGGGCAGAGCCGTGGCAGTGGAGAGAGGCACATGTGTGGTGGGCAGAGCCGTGTCAGTGGAGAGAGTCACATGTGTGGCGGGGCAGAGCCGTGGCAGTGGAGAGAGGCACATGTGTGGTGCGCAGAGCCGTGTCAGTGGAGAGAGGCACATGTGTGGCGGGGCAGAGCCGTGGCAGTGGAGAGAGGCACATGTGTGGTGGGCAGAGCCGTGTCAGTGGAGAGAGGCACATGTGTGGCGGGGCAGAGCCGTGGCAGTGGAGAGAGGCACATGTGTGGTGCGCAGAGCCGTGTCAGTGGAGAGAGGCACATGTGTGGCGGGGCAGAGCCGTGGCAGTGGAGAGAGGCACATGTGTGGCGGGGCAGAGCCGTGTCAGTGGAGAGAGGCACATGTGTGGCGGGGCAGAGCCGTGGCAGTGGAGAGAGGCACATGTGTGGTGGGCAGAGCCGTGTCAGTGGAGAGAGTCACATGTGTGGCGGGGCAGAGCCGTGGCAGTGGAGAGAGGCACATGTGTGGTGCGCAGAGCCGTGTCAGTGGAGAGAGGCACATGTGTGGCGGGGCAGAGCCGTGGCAGTGGAGAGAGGCACATGTGTGGTGGGCAGAGCCGTGTCAGTGGAGAGAGGCACATGTGTGGCAGGCAGAGCCGTGTCAATGGAGAGAGGCACATGTGTGGCGGGCAGAGCCGTGGCAGTGGAGAGAGGCACATGTGTGGCGGGCAGAGCCGTGGCAGTGGGGAGAGGCACATGTGTGGCGGGCAGAGATGTGGCAAAAGTTGTGGTGGCTTTAGTGTGAGGGGTTGGTGGTTGTTGTTTTTGTTTGCAGAGTCCTAAATGTTTAACAAAATCAAGTTTTCTTAAAATGGTTGATTTGCAGAAGAGGCAGTGATAATGTGGCTGACTTCTGCAGAGGCGTCCACATCTGTGTATTGTAAATTCTGAAAAAAAAGCAGTATAAGATTGCACTTTAAGTTTTCTTACAATTTTTCACTATAATCAGATGTACATTTTCAAATATTTCCTTCATGCTGGACTGATCTATTAAAATGTGCCTGCAGATGTGATTGCACTTTTTTTAATCGTGTTGGTTGGAAAACTGAGGCATCACAAAATGGACAATGAAAATATGTGCAGCATTTGGTGCACTGTACAGGTACTGGCAGAGACCCCCCTTTTTGAATTGTAATATCCATCTAGGAAAAAAATACACAAGTCACAAGCAAATTATATTTGTTTTAACCTAAGAGAGCTCACATTGTAAATGTTATGCAGATCAATTGATATTTTGATTTTCAGAGATCTTATTTACAATTGTTAAACTGTTATTGTGTTACTGTTATTGTCTGTACCACTTTCAGATAGATAATACAGTAATACGTTCAGTAGACCTACATAGCACTTTAATGTTACAATTAATAATTGCTTTATATACACAATACATTTTATTTTAACATTTTTACTTTAAAGTTTTCTATTTTGCCAGAAATCATTGCTAGAAAAGTGTCCCAGAATGGTACAATAACAGAAAATAAGAGCGCGCTGTAAATATCATAAAATAATGCTATCTTTTGACTAATTCAAATCAAACACTGAAATATTGTTTGTTAGTGTAATAAGATGTCACATTGATTTCAATCAATTTCAATTTCAAGAATCGCTTTAATAAAATGAATAACCTTACTCACGTGTCCGATGTTGCTACTTCCTAGAAAGTGCTGGTCTGAGCGTGGGTCTCGATACCTGCCGCTTCACCTAACCCAACAGCAGGTGGCACTGTCTGAGAAAATGATAGGTCTGGAAGTGCTGGTCTGAGCGTGCTGGTCTGAGCGTGCAGGTCTGAGCGTGCGGTTGGGTCTCCGGGCCTGCAGCTTCACCCTACTCGATGTTGGAGTTGGACTGATGTTACTCTCTCCAGTACAGCAGGTGGCGATGTGCAGCTCTGCTCTCTGACTCAACACACAGGCAGAAGAAGAAGCGGTGTGTGGCGTGTTTTCAGTCTGCCTCGCGTCCAGCGTTTACACTGCTTCATGTAAGGTCCCGCATGTAACCTCCTGCTTGTTGTGTGATTGAATGTGAATCCCCGCATGTCCTTTGGGCCCCGTATGTCCCTGTCTGCTGTGTTCAGAGTGTTTGTGCGGGTGTATTACTGAACTCCTGATGTGACGCAGTTGAGATGAAATCTGTGATCAGGAGTCGCTGTTCAGTGAATCAAAGTTCTCCAATATATTTCCTATGATCTTCAATGTGATCATGTCTGCTGAATCCCGCATTTAAAACACGCTTTACAGCACTGCTTGACGCGGATCGATTGATTTCAGTGTCTGCGCGTTCACGGTCGCGTGCATGAGCGGCCAGGGCGTTCCCAAGTGAATATTTCGTGGAAATTCCCCCTGGTGGCTATTTTCGGTACAACACCGTCCTTCAGAAACGAAAGTGAAAGTGTTTAGTTGTTGTGTTGCAGTTTTAAACAACCAGAATTCATCATTTACCAACGCGGAAAAGCTTTAAATCTTTAATGTCTTGACAAAACCTGTAAGCTTTATGTGAATGTGTGTATGATGTTATTATAATCAAACGGATGACGCTGTGATTCTTCATTAGTTTACTCGTGATGAGCTTCTGGATTTGAGTGTCTCAGCTGCTGATCTATTCCTGCATTCAGCTGAATTATGAAGGCTGATCAATGACTGGAGATCTGTGATTGTTCATCAGTTTCTTGAGTTTCTGCTGGAGATCAAACTCTTCAGATCCATCATGGGTAACACACACACTGCTGGAGATCAGGATTTGTCAGCAGGATGCAGGTATTAGACCTACACTTGACATTTCATATGATTATTTTCTACAGGATATTATAATCATTTTATTTATATATGCTGTGAATGCAGTGAGATGACTGAGACTCAGTTTGTGGTGTCCCTCATCATGTGGTGTGTTTGAGTGCGGTGTTGTTAGTGAAGTGAGCATTGATTGCTATAAAGTGCGCTGTTCTTCATCTCAGTATATTGTCATCTCCAGGTGATGGTCAGCG